AAGTCTCCTGAGCCCGGCAACTTCGGCCCCTCCCCGCCCCCACCCGGCTGCCCTCCGCGCGGCCCTCCCCATGTGCAGCCGGACGGCCGGGCTCTCCTCCTCGCGGCGGATGGGTGACCTTTTCCTGGCACGGGCGGGCTGTGCGAGGCGGCGGAGCAGGCGATGAAGAAGCAGCAGCAGCATCCCGGCGGCGGCGCGGATCCCTGGCCCCATGGGGTCCCTCTGGGGGGCGCCCCTGCGGGCCTGGGCAGCTGGAAGCGCCGGGTGGCCCTGCTGCCTTTCCTGCGCTTCTCCCTCCGGGACTACGGTTTCTGCATGGCCACCCTCCTGGTCTTCTGCCTGGGCTCCCTCTTCTATCAGCTCAGCGGGGGACCCCCTCGCTTCCTGCTCGACCTGCGGCAGTATTTGGGTAAGGAAGGGAGGCAGGCGCGAGGGCGGCACCGGTTGCGCAAAGTTGTGCCCGGGGGAGAGGGGGCGCGCCGGGGACTTCTCGTGCTGCCACCGCGCGCCGCCGCCCCGCTCCCCAGGTGTGGCCCCCGCGAGCATCGGTCCGCGGCCCGGAGCGCCTTCTTCCTCCCGCGCGTCCGGCCCGCGGGCGCCGCTGGGTTGCGGTGCTGGGCAGGTACCTCGGGAGGGACACCGCACACCTTCACCCCCTCCACCTCTGGCGTCCCAACTGGGGCGGAGCGGACGCGTTTGTGTTTGTGGGTGTGCACGAGTGTGTGTGTGTTCAGGCCTGGCGGTGCAGGGAGAGGCGAAGGAACGGGACCGTCCCCTCCGTGGCATTGTGAGTGACCACAGTCCAGTCCCGTCCCGCGCCCCGGGTCGTGCGAGTGGGTTTGATCCCTCTCCACGGTCCGTTCTGACAATTCTGCACCGCAGATTCCCCCACCAGCCTGTTTGCCCGGATGGCTCCGCGCTGTCCCCGGGCTGGCTTGTCCCTTGACAGTCCCTGCCCGACCCGCCGCTGCCCGCGAGCGTGACACGGGGAGCAGGCTGAGCCCGTTAGTATGGGGCTGTCCGAGGGCGCGCGGGTCAGCCTGGCTAGCAGTGTCGCCTTCTGTGACTCGATCCTCTGCACGGTGTGCGTCTCAATCAGAACTTTTCTGTTGTATTTTTACTGTGCCTGGTTTGTGAGCTGCAAGGCTGCCTGTCTTTAGAAGAAGTAAGGAAGGGGCTGTAACCGGAGAGAGCGCCGCTCCAGCGTGAAGGCGTGACCCCGCGGCTCCCTTGTCCCGGCTTCGGAAGCCAGGGGTGCCAGGCCGGGGGAGGACGCTGGCTCGCGCGCCCGGGCCAAGGGAGGATGCGGATCCCTCACAAGTCTGTGGCCAGAAGAGGTCGTTCTGGCGTGGGGGAGAGGCGAAGAGAGTGCCAGCCTCTTGCAAACATCCGAGATGATAAAATAAACCTGAGTTAACCGGCAGACATCAACATCTCTGCGGGTTCGGGAAAGCGGAGCCACTGAAGTGCTGGAAGCAACAAGGGCCGAATGACCCGGGTCTGCTGGAGGCTGCCGCATTTACCCTCAATGTACCTTCGTCGCAGAAGCCACAGGTTTAGACAGAAGGCCATTAGGGGCGGGGGTGGAGGGGGACACACTCACATCAGCAAAGTGACAGATGTGTCAGAGCATTTGTAAACACTGTTAAAATTATGTTTTCCATATAGAGAGGCTGAGACCTTTAAAGTTACACGTTTATTTCAGTAAAAACTTTGGGGAGCTATAGTTTTACAAGAAACTTTAGGGAAATTAAAAAAAAAAAAGATTGCCCAAGTACATTTCCAAAGTACAGTCCATAGCATCTGGTTTCATAGAGAATTTGGGGGCAATATGCCCTTTTATTGGAGACTCAAACTTCTTTCCTCGAGTTCTGTGTTTTGATGTCTCAGAGCTTCCTTGGCCCTCAGACTATCTTAATTCTCACCATCAATAGCAATCATGGTTAACTGGCATTGGGAGGTAAGTTTGTTGAGGCTCAGGGGTCTTTCTCATAAAATCTGATAATGAATTGTGCATTAGTTCCTTTTAGGGAAAATATGGAGGCTGGTGGTATAGGAGAAAGTATAGGAGACCAGGATCCAAGACATCTGTGTTCAGTGTCCTCAAGAGCACTTGGCCTTGGTGGGGTGCTCAAACTTCAGGTGCCTCATTTTTCATGGTAGAATTCGGAACTGGACTAGAGAACTGGAGGTCTCTAAAACCACTACCCACCTCCTAAAATGTTGTGGTCCTGGTACCCTTCTTGGGGAAGGGAGAACCTGGGAGGAGGAAGAAGCAAAGGGGCTACAAAGGATAAAATCAGGAAACTTTGATATCTACTACATGAACCTTTTCACTATAGGTTTCAAAAAAGTAAGGCCTGATGGATACCTCTGGGTGATCAGTTGTTGGAAGGTGAATTCTCAGCATATATTCAGAAAACCGTGACAAACTCGAACGATTGGACACTGCTCCTATTACTAACTGATCATTGCCTTTCTGTCTGATGTGGAGTCAAAATGACATCATTGTGAGCTGAAAGTGGATACCCTTAGCCAAAGTTGTTCCCTGTTGTTTTGGCACATAAATAGGATTATTTTGGGGAAAAGTGGGCTTGTGGTCTCTAGGATAGTCTAAAATATATCCATAATAACATAAGGTCAAGGTATCTGCAGAATTACTTTCCCCCATTTTCCTTCATTCTACTATTTTAGTGTCTGTCAAAACAAAATTTGTGGTTGGTAAACACATCCTCTCAATTTCCTTAGCCAGTTTTGGAAATGAGTATTTTTCTTAAGTGTAAGTTCATATAAAGTCAAACATTTCCAAATCATTTTAGTTGTACTCCACATTTTTCTTTACAGAGTATTATTTCAGTATATTTATGCACTATTCTATGTCTGACACATAATTGTTACTTGATACATGTTGATTGGATTCATGACCAAGCCTACCGAATCAAATAGGTAGTGTGATGTTTAACATATTGAATATTCTCACAGGAAAGCCAAGATACATGAGCACTCGTGATAAAAGCTAACCCTAACTGTGTATGTGCCAGTCAATGCATGTGCAGAATGAAATTAATCCATGCAGCAATACAGTTGGTAGGCGCTATTGTTATTTCCATTTTCTGTACAAGAAAAAATGAGGGTAAAGAGGTATGAAGGACCCATGGCAAGTAAGGGCATCACTCCACATCAATCTGATTTCACTATTATGTGCAGCATAATAGAGAAAATGGAAATATAGCAAAGATGCAAATCAATGAGAATCTAAAGAGTTGATTGATGAAAAATGATCATAAAAATTTTACTTCCATAATTTCACTTTCCTTTTTTTTTAGAGACAAATTCTCATTGTGTTGCCTAGTATGGTGTTGAACTCCTGGGCTCAAGCAATCCTCTCACCTCAGCCTCCCAAAGTGCTGGGGTTACGGGCATGAGCCACTGAGCCTGGTGTCTCTCTTTCCTTCTTTTGATATTTGTACTCTGAGTATTTTGAGGGACCAGTGGAGAAGGGAAATAACTCAAGCATATAGGGTGCTTAAACTCTGCCTTCCTATATTAATCTTCCTACTATGCTCCTTCTATCTATCAGGGAGCTAGACCCTTTCTGAGCCCCATAACAACTGGGAATGATGTTAGTTAGAATCACAGCTTCCTGGGCTTTCTCTCTCTCTTTAGCAATTGTGCCATGTCTAGGCTAGTAGTTCTCAGCGTGAGTCCTTGGACCTGCAGCATCAGCATCACCTGGGAATTTGTTACAACTGCACATCCTAAGTTCTTATCCCAGGCGTGTTGAATGAGTCTGGGCACAGGGCCCAGCAATCTGTGCTTCAGCAAGTCTTCCAGGTGATTCTGATGCAGAGAATTTGAGAACCATTGTTCTAGAGAGTATTGCTTTCAAGAGGCCTCCCATGTATTTGTAGTTGAGAGAAAGAGGGGAAGAGGGGGATTGGGATGAAGTGGGGAGATTTATAAAGTATCTAAAGGTAATATGCATAGTTTTATTTTTTATTTCAATTTTTTTTTTTTTCAATTTTCTGTCATCTAGGCTGGAGTGCAGTGGCACAATCATAGCTCACTAGAGCCTCAAACTCCTGGCCTCAAGTGGTCCTCCTGCCTTAGCCTCCCAGAGTTCTGGGATTATAGGCATGAGCCACTGCGGCCGGCCAGTTTCTACTTTTAAAAATGCATCTGCTTTGCTGCTTAAGCCCCTAGTGTCTCAAGGGAAGGACCAGCCAACAGCTGCATCCTCACCTGGCCTTAGGCTTTTGGAAGTTAGGGGAGGCATGGAATGGGCTGAAGTGGGACAACCAGATAGTAGAGTGAGAGCAAGGAAGAGAAAGGAGTCCTGATGATGCTGTCTCTTCCCCCACAGGAGCCAGTGGGAAATAGTTCCTTCTGTCTGGTCAGTTGGGGGAAGGGCAGGGTATATTCTCCTTAAGTGTTTTTCTGCCATAACAAAGTTGAAAAAAGGAAAGGAAGTTAGGAAAAGAATAATTATGCAAGGCTAACTGTTGTCTTGATTTTCCACACTCAAATTGAGGAGAACACAAACATATAAAGGGGTAAATAGAAAAATATAGCAAGCGTTACACTTAAACTTGGAGACTGTGGTCTTTCCACTTCAGTCTTTTTTTTTTTTTGTAGTGACATTCAAACTTTGATTTGCTATAAAAAAAAATAGAAATCAAATAAAATCCTTCTCAGAAATTAGGTTATGATGCAGCCTTGCTGTCAGTAGCCTCATTACTTATGAGCTGTGGAAATATCAAGAACTTGGAATAACATTTGTTACGTTGATATAAACAGAATGAGCCAGATGGCTTACTACTGATCTGGTACAACCGGCAAACTCTAATGATTTATCATCCAACCTCGGATATATGATTTAGACTTTATGGGAGCTAAATTTGTTGGATTGATCATGAGTTGATATGCTTTCCTTTCCATTTTTAATTTATACCACTTTAAATGGAGATATAGTGGTTCAGTTCTCAGAATTGTCACTTTACATGCATTATATATGAGCTGGCAATATAGAGTCAAAAGTGAAAAAGATGTCATTTTATTGAACTTGAAATTTTCCAAGTTTAAATGAATTTAAAGGAAAAATGTGAAAATAGAGGTCCAGATCTGTTACAGAATACTTTCTCTGAACCTTAAAAGCAAAATTTTATTTTTCTTCTGCATCTCACACATGGCTTAAATAGAATATGTTAGGCTCCAAACAGTAATCTAGGAACTGAATGCATAAAATATGATGTTATCAATAGAAATTGTTGACATAGAAAAAATGATACTCTTGTTCATAGCTACAATTTTACATTGTAGGGTTGGTTGAGGACACAGTGGCACTGTCTTAGAAGAAGGGCAGCCGGGCTCGGTGGCTCAGCCTGTAATCCCGTGCCTGTGGGAGGCTGA